ACATTGAACGCACAGGATGGGACAGCCCTTCCTGGCTCAACAACACATATCTCGGGGATCCCTATACCAAAGCAGATTCAAACATGGAGTAATGAGGTACTGGCTTTTTTTTTTTTTAATTTGCTCACCTTGCTTCTCGCCTGTATTTAATGCCACAGACAGTAGTCTCTTGTCTTACTGCCTGGTAATTGATACAGAATGAAGTGCATTCCTCATAGGCAGTCGGGAGGAGTGGTGGACTCTGAGGGTGGGGCTAAGGGACATCTTGTCAGGCCGGAGGGGCAATGGGGAGTGAGGTAGCTCAGTGTAGAAGCCTCACACACTATGGCTGCTCGTATTTTAGATCGGGGTGGGGGGATGCTAAAGATCTGGGAGTCAGGGCATAAATACTTATACTGCAAGTGCCTGTGTGCAGAATCTAAGTAACTAGGATCCCATCACCATGCCTATGAGGCCGCTTCCAGTCTAGCCCACTCAGCTCTCAAGTCAAGGCCGCTTTCCCTGCCTCCTCCTGTCTCCTGTGACCACGGGATTTGCGCCCTTTTGAAGCCCATCGCTGTTGTCTTCCCAGGGCCTGATCACATCAGCCTTGTGGGAGTCTCACACAGGCCTCGCAGTCGTGTGCTGAAGCCTGGCAGCTGCAGGCCTGTTTTCTGCCCCAGAGTGCCTGGCCCAGCATTTGGTCCCTCGGTATCTGTGTGCCCTACTCTCCCCTTAGCCTGCTGAAGAGGCCAAACTCCTAGAGGGTACCATGTCCATGCCTGCTCCACTGGTAGGAAAGGGAAGCTAAATGAGGTTGATCCCATTTCCTTGGTGTGTTTGGACATTGGCACATGTGGAAGGTGCAGATGGGATGGTAGGGCCTTGCCTTCTCTTGTAGCCAGAGTTATCTCCTGCCTCGGTCTCTATATGAGCAAAAATGGCTCCTCCCCATGGGGTCTTGTGTCCTGTGCATTCCAGGGCACATGGCAGTGACAGATTCACTCCTGTCCTCACCCAGGAATAAACGTAAATGCCTCACAAGTGTCCGGGTTGCTTTCAGCCTCGCTGGTGGTTAGACCCGGAAGTACTTCATGTCTTCCTTAGTGTGAGACACCTCTGGCACGTTTCTCCCCATGACACAGCGGCCTCTCTGTCTTCCCATTTGTCTCAGTCCCTGGGCCCTGAAGGCCCCCTCTACAGGCCTCAGAGTCATGGTGCTTCTCTGTGGATGAGTCCTCTCTTCCCCGCTCTGTCTGTGTATCTGTGGGGTTGACATGCCTGCTGCAGAGGGGGTCCCTTCAGCATTCTGTGCTCCAGTGGCAAGGCCCAAGGAAAACAGTCTTTTATTGAAGGCATCAAGCAAGAAATTAGATAGGCATTCTTTTCTGGCCTTAGAAATCGGCTCCATGGGGACAGGGGTTCTGCCCTTTATTCTTTGACAGCTGCCAGCTCAGAGAGCATGCTCAGTAAGTATAGGCTGAGTGTGAGGGAGACTCTCACTGTCAATAGATCCCATTCATGGCTGTAGTCATTCACCTAAAAATAGCTTCCAGACGGTTGGAAACTTTGCAGGACAGTGGTAGACACAAAAGCATGCTTGTGGTGACTTTTTAAGAACGTGGCAGGGTTGATTGCACTCAGCTGTTCCACCAGAGACCACAGGTCCCCCCACACACACCTGGGCCAGCACCTCAGGCAGTGGGTTCTTCAGTAAAACTGGCAAGTGCAGGCAGAGTTCACCCATGGCTGTCATCCTGGTGAAGAGGCAAACACAGATCCTGCATCCATGAAGCTGGCATCATAGCCAGCCATTGATGCTCCTGTGACAGACACCTGTCACCACGTGGAGAGAGCCAACCCAGTGAGGCAGGGAGGGGCAGTGGTTTGTGCAGGCTATGGGCTGGCCTCTCACAAGCACCCTCCTTGTGCTCTGAGGGTTCTTCGCTACCTTCCTATACAGATCTCACTGTGGCTTCCCAGCTGAGCTTGAGGGGACAAGTCACAGCCGATGCAGGAAAAGCACGATGCCCCTGGAGGCCTGTCCACTGAAGCGGACCCTGTCAGGGAGCACTGAAGACAGCTGTGGCCAGCAAGGGGCAGGGGCGCTTCAGTGAACTTTGATTCAGAGAGCAGCAGAAATCAAGCAGTAACAAGGGAGGGGCTTGGTGAGAGGAAGGAGGGAATCTAGCATTGTCTGGTGCAGGCCGGTAGGGGTGAAATGCTGGGACCAAAGTCACTCTCTAGGATAGACTGCCACCCAACTCACAGGGTGAGGGGTCTCAGAGCCTGCCAGGCCTTGGGGATTAGTGGGGAACTTGTTTCTGAGAGACAGTGTTTGTGTTGGTTCAGTTAGATGGTGGGGGTTAGGGGGAGGTGAAGGATTGGGGAGGAACAGGAGAAGCCATGGATGAGCATCCAGGAGAGTGACAAGTAGATTTCTAACCGAAGTGTGAGAAGCTCAGGGCAGCAGGGGTCCTAGCGCATAAGGGACCCTGTCATCCTAAGAAAGGAAAGGTGAATCCTGACCCATGTGCCAGTGAGTTCAAGGCCTGCCCAAGTAGAATGGGAAGATTTTTGAAAGGGCATTTGCATGCACACAGAAAACTGCCTTATTTGAATAAGGACAGTTCACTAAAACGAAAAACTGAGATCTGTGCCCCTTTAGTTTTTCTTGATTATCAAAAGTATGTGTAAGTTGGGTACCTCTTCAGGGCGTTAGCTAGAAAGTGGTGTACTGGCTTCGTTTTTATTTCTTTGTTTTGTTCCTGAGGCAGTGTCTTGTGAGGTAGGCTTCAGTGGCCTGGTAACAGCTGTCTGGCCTAGGGTGACCTCAGACTCACGGTGTCCCCCCTGCCGCAGCCTCCTAGGTTCTGGGATTATGGTTCCTTGGCAGGTTCAAAAGCACGTTGTGTGGGCCAGTTGTTCGTACAACCATTCCATTATTTGTTACAGCCTGTGGCTAGTCTAGAGACATATGCCTTGCCTGAGCTCAGTGTTGCTTCTTAGAGGCTCCCCATCTGTGGATTGGTGCTAGGGACCACCTGAGCCTCTGTCCCAACCCCACCCTGCTCGGGACCATTTCCATCAACTCAGTTGTGGACACACATTGTTTGTGTTCCAAACAACGGAGACCTGTAAGAAAGCTGTGAATAGCAACAATGAGGGAAGCTTCCAGAGCCACAGACAGCACTCAAGAGGGTCTGTGTGCTGAGAGTACACAGACGAGACAGGGATTGGATTTATGCACATGTATGGAAGCCTGTCCCAGTCTCTGTGTAGTTCATGCATGTGCTGTAAGAGTCTCAGAGAGATGTTGGTGTATGTTGGGTGGTAGACGCTGAAGAAGCTCTAGTTATTGTTACGCCACTAACAGCCAGTACAGAGTGTCCGCAGTCAGACCCTGGGAGTAGAGATGTGACTTGGTAGCTTAGGAAGAAGAATTACTGACAGTCACAGAGGTGTCAGAACAGTCTTCGAGTAGGACCAGTGAGTGGCCTGATGAGTGAGCCCTCCTCCAGTGGAGGACAGGACAGTCACGGACCACTGTCAGTGGGCCTGGCACTGCCGTCTGAAATCTGGGCTTGAAATGCTCACCGTCAAGCTCAGATAGCATGCAGAAGGGAAACCCCAGGGTGTCACCATCTTGGAGGCTGGAACCTGTCCTAGGGACTAGATGGGGACTTTGGGGAAACAGCCTGTTTGAAGAGTTGTCTTGATTTGTTTTGTTTCTTGGTTTTGGTGGTGATTTTTTTTGGCTGGTTGGTGGTTAGTTGGTTGGTAAGTAGGTAGGTAGGTTGGTTGGTTGGGTTTTGATATTTTGGCAAACCTGGGTCTCACTATGTAGACCAGTCTGTTCCAGAACTCCTAGCCCCTCCTACTAGGGTTAAAGGTATGTGCCACCATGCCCAGCCAGGGGCCACTGTTGTCATTTAAACCCTTACCCTCACCACCACTACTGCAGCCAGCCTGCCAGATCACATGCTGAAGTGAGGCTCAGGGCTGCCGGCTGTCCCCGAGGTACAGGTCCCCCTGGGACAGGAACCTGCTGCATGAGCTAGAAATCCTGGAGCCTGGTAGAAGCGAAAGGGCAACAGCGTCCGGGCATGGAACAGAAGGTGGTGAGGTGGGTCCCGCAATGCTTGTCAGCAGGGAGGATGCCCAGCATCTGCGGATGGCAGTGCTCGGGAAAGCAGGAGCCAAGCAGATAGGAGTCAATGAGAACCTTTCTGGCCTCAGAGTTACAAGACTCCTGATTATGACATAGGGACTCTGAAAGCTTGGGGTGTGGGGAGGTGTACCACCCATGCTCCCCTTCCCCCTGCACAGTGTACCGTCTGAGTCCTCCCGGGCTTTTTGGTAAAGACAAAGTAGATAATCAATTGAGTTTTACTTATAGAGAACCACTGTGTTTGCGCATTGGCCCTAAGGCATCTCCAGAGTCTGAGGGACTCTTTCGGCCTGCAGGAGTATAATACTAACTTGGACACTATTGGTGAGAGTTGTGGCCTGCTGTACCTACCATCTCTCACTGATCACAAGTGAAGTCACGGCCATGTGTAGTACTGCTGGAGAAGGTGACCGGGGATGGCTCACCCTTTGTATGCAGTTTCCCACCCACTCAGAACAAGGCTCTCTCTGTGGGTTTGTACGTGTCAGTATCTCATTCCTGGTGCATCGGGGTCAGCAAGGGAATGAAAGCGGACCTTCAGAATCCGAAGGTCACTACCGTGCCGTCCCTGGGGTCATGTGTGTGCCCTCGAGGTTCCAGGAGTCTGGTTGCCAGAAGCAGGGGATTTCCAGGGCCTGTTTTTGGGCTGGGAGGTGCACGTGGTGAAAGTGCCCAGATCCGTTCAGTGCCTCTTACCCAGCCGCCTTGTGCTTGGGTGTCCCAGGAAAGATGGCAAGGCCTCATGTGTTAATGCTGGAGGACATGGCTTGAGTGGGCTTGGCCTCCTTTTCTTTGCTCTGTGCTCCGAGCTCACCTTTGCGTTCTTTTGCCTTTTCCGGTTCGGTTGCAGACACGGGGCTGGGTGACTCGGTGTGTTCCAGCCCAAGTATCTCCAGCAGCACCAGCCCCAAGCTTGACCCGCCCCCCTCCCCTCACGCCAACAGAAAGAAGCACCGGAGGAAGAAAAGTACCAGCAACTTCAAGGCCGATGGGCTCTCGGGCACTGCTGAAGGTAAGGGTCCCCAGGCTCCCAGGGTGAGTGTCTGCACTGGAGAATGGACTTTCTGAAGTGGCTCCTGCAAGTGAATTCGGATGTTTTTATTCCGTTCATGCATGTGGAGATATGTGCGCGCGCGCGCGCGCACACACACACACACACACACACACACACACACACACACACACACACGAGAGGTATGAATGCAGCTAAACTTCAGAAATACTCAAAAGCCAAACTTCAGACACTGTTGTATTAACACCAAGTTTTGTTATTGAGAAGAGTTCTCTCTTAGTTGTGAGCAGAATTCTGTCTTGAGCAGAGGTTCCCACTCTCAGAGACTGCTCTGTGCTTCAGATCTTCTCTCTTCCCTTGTCTGCCAAGCTTTTTTCTGAATGTTCACCTGGTTTGTCCAGAACTGTGGTTTGCAAGATGTTACTCCCAATAGAGAAAGTGTCTCTGTGAGCCCACAGCACATAGCAAGCAACAAGGACCTGTGGGGTTCAGCAGTGTGCCCCATCATTTGTGAGGTGGGCCATGCTGTGTTGGCGGCTGTCAGGAGGAGGCTGGGATCCAGCAGAGCCTTGCAGGTTGGGGTTCCTTGCAGAGCCCAAAGGTCTTCACCAAGGCTCTTCCTGTTCTGTCCCCAGCAGCTTCCTGCTGACAAGGTTAGACAATGAAGACCCGCCTTCTTATTGGGGGATGGATAAGGATAATTCTGGCGCATCAACAGCCACAGAAAGTAACACCGAAGGGTGACAGCATCGAGCTAGATGCCATTGCTCTTCCCACTAGAAAAGGTTCTGCACAAACCCTGAGAGTTTCTGCGCTCTCATCAGGAGCCACCAGCAGGTGTCAGCTCCAACCTGCCCCAAGGAGAGGTTGCGACAAGATGGGAGCATTGACACCCATCCCAACCTCCAGCCTAGGGACCCAAGCAAGATTCCCCCTAATGAATGTCTTAAAGTGTATGTCATGTAACAGATAAGTGTCTCAGAACATGTCACTTGTTTCCAAATGATGTTTGTTCTTGATGCCATAGCACAGCTGATGGCCAGTTCTTTCTACAGCTGCTTGCATGCATTTCAGTTTCCTACACATGATCTGTGTGTAAATGCTGTAAGATCAAGCCTGTGGCAAGACAGCAGTATGGTGTTCAGCCAATGGGGAGTTGGGGGGAATGGGGAAAGTGACTTTTGTTGACTTTCTGAGCTCCTAGGTATTCTGGTGGACACTATACAGTAGTGTACCATAAAGCTTGGACAGGGTGAGTCTATCCTAGCAGACAGAAAGATGGCAGCTTTGGGAGATAGCCCTGTAGTGCTTGCCTTTGAAATATGGGGAATTGAGTTTGAGCCCCAGTACCCACCTAAATAAACCAAGCATGATGGTACGCGTTTATAATTTGAGTACCAGGAAGGTGAAGACAGGCAGATCCCTGGCATTCACTGGCGGGCCAGCCTAGTCTACTTTGGCAAGTCCCAAGTCAGTGAGAGACCCTGCTTCCAAAACGAGCAAAAAACAAAGGTGTGCAGTGCCTGAGGAATGAAGCCCAAGGTTGTCCCATGTTCTCCACGTAAGCATACATGTGCACACAGGTACCGCAGAAACACATAGACTGGAAAATCACAACAGTGTCTCTCAAGCAAGGCTGGATGAGTGGGGGGCACAAGTTCAGAAGTTTCGGATGGTTCTGTGGAGACCTCCCCTCAGTCCGCTGATAGCTTCTAATAGAAAGTAAGTTCTAATAAAGTCATCTGTACAATTTTCCCCTGGCAAGTGTTGATCTGACCCACTGCGCTTGTCATTCCTATGAGGCCTGTAGTTTGTTAGTGTACAGCGCTGCTTTCCTCACATTTCAACATTCTGACTATTTGTTTAGTTATTTTTGAGTCTGGGTCTCACTATGGAGCCTCAGCTAGCCTCACGCTCACAATCCTCCTGCCTCAGCCTCCTGAGTACAGGATGTATACATCATAGAGTACACTTCTAAATTTGTGCTGTTCTACCATTGAAGCACCATCTGTGGTCTTCAGGACTCTCCTTAAATGACAATTAAATGAAATCTAACGAGCATGCTGCCCTCAGAATTAAAGGCAGCTGTGTAAATGTTTCTTGCTAACAATGCTGTTTGGTTTCAAGACTGTTTCTGAAGTGTAGAGAGGTGGCTCAGCAGGTAAGAGCACTGGATGCTCTTCCAAAGGACTCGGGTTCAATCCCCAGCACCCATGTGGCTGCTCACAACCATCTGTAACTCCAGTTCCAGAGGATCCAATCCCCCCACAGACATTTGTGGAGGCAAAACAGAAATGGACATAAAATACAAATAAACACTTAAAAATTTTAAAAGAAAAAAGAAAGCATTTTCTGTTTCTCACTCCTGTGCAGAACTGACTCCTGGTCCCCCAGGCACCCTGTACTTGTGGTGCCCCTGTTTTATCACTATCTTCTGAAATACACACGGTGCCACAGCACAGGGTTTCTGAGCCTTTCCCGGGACTTGTTTCCACCTGAAAAAGGGTTTTAAGGCTCCAGGTATAATGATATGTAAAATATTCAGATCCATAAATGGTAACTTATTAATGTATTTTTAAAACTATTCTTCCACATACATATAATTTTTACCATTTATTAAAGACAAAAGTGGAGTTGGAGCGATGGCTTAGTGGCTAAGAGCACTTGCTGCTTTTCATGAGGACCAGAGTTCTGTTACCAACACCGATGTTAGATACTAACAACCACCTGCCACACCAGCTCCAAGAGTTCCAGTGCCCTCTTCTGACCTCCAAAGGCACTGCACATGTATGCGCGCGCGCGCGCGCGCACACACACACACACAGACACACAAATAAAAACAAAGCTTTTTTAGGAGAAAGAGCACACCTGCATGCCGTGGGATAGATGCTTCCTTATTTTCGCAGAAAGAAGTTATTTTTGACTGGGTATCAGATAACACAACACATAGAGAGCATCTTTAGTATTTTTTCAGACTTGACAGATATTTTGATTTTATAATCATCAGGGCTGGGAATGCCACTTTGCATAAATCCATACTACAAAATAGTAGAGGATATGTAGGGCTGTTTCCAAAATTGTTGCAAATTTTGTCCCAACCACAAGCCAAAATGCATTTAATGATTTTATTCTTAATGGAAGTCTGCAACTCCAGTGGTAGTCTTTAAAATCGAGCATCCTAACAGTGCATTTCAAAGATAGACTAATTTGATGCTGACTCTTTGAGAAATGAATGGCTGTAGGAAAACACTAAGTAAAAGATTCTGTTTTCTGTATGTCAGTTATACTTTTATGAGTACACTGTAAACACTACAGCCCAGAGCAGGCCATCATCTGGGGTCATGGGTTCACTGTGTAAGAAGCTGGGCTGTAGAGGGCATCCATGAGATGGATGGATGGATGCTCTCTCTGCCCTTCCGCCTTCCATGGCGTTAGCAAACAACTACAGTCGAACATTTTAAGAGTGTAAAAAGATTAAAAATCCCTCTGACGGCTAATTCAGTCAGAACCCGAGGGGGGAATGATAGTGTGCTCAAGCTGATCACTACAGATTTACTAAAGGGACCCAAGAGGCAGAGAAAGGACCTGGAGAAGTAGTGAGGGGAAGTGTCCCTGGCAGATGTTACAGCCTTCCTAGAGGGACAGGTGTAGTTCAGCCATGGTACCACAAATCAGTGGAGTCCCTTACCCTCCTGCCGTCTCCTCCACCTTGTTCTCTGTGTAAGTGTATCAGTGGTCAAAGGCCTGAGCCTCAGAGCTGCTGGCCCCACATGTCTGCTCTAGGGGCCTCTTGCATAGCCTGAAGAAAGCAGCCCATAGTCCTCTGTCACACGTGCCACAGGCCAGAAGCCTCAGAGAGCTAAGGGGTAGGTCGTCCACGAATTGAGCCTCAGGACTCCCTGCATGCCTCTGGATGCCACCCCAGCTGCATGACAAGAGCTGCTGTGCAGGCTTCCTGGGATATTTCCCTGTGCAATTTCTGCAATCCGAAATGTGGACTGAAAGAGTGTGTCAGTGTTTCCATTGCTTCGGCTTCAGAAATAGTGCCTGACTGGCAGAAGCAACCACTCTAGCTCCCTGCACTTGTCTCTCTTGAGGATGAACACCAGCGCAGTCTACACCACGTGACAGAAGATGCCTAAGTAAAACAGCTGTTACGATTTTAATACTGACACATATAAGTGCACATGCTGTTTTGACACCTGTTGATTGTATGGCAACCTAAAAAATCAATAATGAAATTAGTGAAGTTAACATAATAAATTACAGAAGCAGCAACTGTAACTTTAAAAAAAATCTTTGTATTTGGGGCTCCAACGTGTTAATTTGGCAGTCATTCTAGTGATTAACAGAGTGGATTCTGGGAGATCAGTCCCCTCCCTAGACTCTGAAGTACCTATGGGCATTAAAGGAATCCTAAGATATGGAGGTCATGTGCACCCCATCCCCTACCCTGCCCTGTGAAGACTTGGAGGAGGGTAAGAAAAAGTCAAGACAGTTGACTCATCCTCTCCCAATGTGTGCCTTTTCTTTTAACACCTGTCCCTGAGAGGTGTGGGCATATACACAGATATCGCCGTACCCTAGACCTGAGCCTACCAGCCATAGCCAGGGAAGGGCATGGCCACTCCAGCAGACAGGAGCCCAGGAGCCTAAGAGCTGCCATCGGGCTTGCACAGCATCCACATCAGGAGTCTCCCACAGCTTGGGTTCTTGTCACCTACATGGCACCTGTGAAAGCTTCACAAACACACACACACACACACACACACACACACACACACACACACACACACACACCAACTCTGAGACACTCTTCCTCGGAAAGTTAACAGCCTGTCAGGAGGAAATACACGCAAGTCTTTTGCGGTGTCTTTCTCTATGGTTTCTTGTTCAAAAACACTTAAGGGATTTTTTTTTTTTTAAGTTCTGCTACCTAAAGCATTGGGTAAAAGGACATTTGCCACGGGTAGCACGGTGGAAACCACCGTCCCCTCTCC